GTTTTTTTTTGCTTTTTTGGATTTAGAAAAAGGGATTGATAGAGTGGATAGGGAGCAAAAGTGGCAGAGTTCAAGTAATGGAATAGGTGGTAATTACTAAATGCTGTAAAGGTTTGAGGGTAGTGAGGCCAGGTTAGGTGTGAGAAAAGAGGGAGACTACTTCCCAGTAAAAGAGGTCTTAGACAGGGATGAATTCCCATGGTTGTTTAAAATATTTAAGATGGGGTTGTAAAGGAAATAAATCTAGGGGTTCGGAAGAGGTGGATTAAATTATGGGGGAAAAATACAAAATGGGAATTGACAGTTACTTTTTGCTGTAAACTGTCATATGGGAGTTCTAAAAAAAAAATTTCAAATTAGTGGGACGAGTTTTTTGGGTGGTAAAGGTAAAATGAAAGTGCATAGAAAAGGTAAGGTGATGAGGGACAAATATTTAGATAAAGAAAAATTGGATACAAATTGGGGAGGAGGATATGGAAGAAGCGAATGTTTTTAGATACTTGGGACTTGCGGTCGGCGGGTGGATTTATAAGGATGAGGGTTTAAACATAGAATGTGAAGGGAAAAAAGGTATGGGGCATTGAGGTATATGGGAGACAAAAAAGTTATCATGGAGGCAAAGAAGGGAAAGTATGAAAATATAGTATACCCAAAACTACTATGGGTGTGAAGCTCGGTTGTGGGAAAGCAGCGCGGGAGGCGGTTTTGGGGAGTGGAATGTCCCGTCTAAGGGCAATATGTGGTGCAAAAATTATGCAGAAAATTCGGATTTACTGGGGGGTTTTCCCCGGAGAGGTTTTCCGGGGTCAAGCCCCCGCGGCCCGGGCTGGACCAGGCCCCTGGGGGATCAAGGGCCCGATCAACCAGCTGTTGCTGCTGGCTGACGCAAACCAACGTACGAGCCAAGCCCGCTGATCAGGAACTGACTTTAGGTGCTTGTCCAGTCCATTGAAAAACTGCCAGGGGCTTTTGGGAATCCCCCCTTTGTGTTGGGTGGGGGGCAAATTGAACTTTTCGAGCCCTGACCTTATTGTATGGTCCTTAAAGTGTGCTAGTGACACCCCGCTTTCATTGGGGGGAGGGCACGTCTGCCAAGTCTTTGGGTTTCGTAGTGAGTGATTTTCGTGTGCAATTTTGGTATAGCCTCAGGATTTCCCGGGGTTTTATAAACATTTTTCCTTCCCTCCCGTTCCCGGGAAACGGTTTAGGGGAACCTCAACGCTCCCCGTAATGAGGGGTTTATCTCCGTTATGGGCCCCCGGAAAGTTTTTTCCCACATTTCTAGGCGGGGAAATTTTACCTGCCCGAAAAGTGCTGTTAGTGTGCAGCAATATTCCAGCCCAAAAGAAAAAAGTGACCCGAAGAGTGTATCATGGGGTTGGCCTCCCTAGTTTTGAAGGTTCTCATTATCCTCCTGTATTTTTTTTAGCGATGCATTGATACAAAGTTATGGCCCTTTAAAGGGAGATCCTCCGACATGATCACTCCCCGGTCTTTTACGTTGGTTTTCGCTCATTTTTGTGGCCAGAATTTTTTTTTTACTCTGTGAAATTTAAATTTTCCCATGTTTTCCATATTTAGTAATTGAATTTCTCCTTTTGTTGAACTCATATTTTTTTTCTGCAGCCCACGAAAGATTTGGTTGTGTCCCCCTGGGCTTTGCAGTGTTGCAATTTGGAAGACACGTTCAGCAATTCGGGGTTTTATCTGCAAAGGAAACACGGTGTGGGCTACATCCTTGCTATGTGGGATATAAGGAAGAGGGAAAAAGATGGGAGCGAGTTCTGTGCCTTGTGGAACAAGCTTTTACCGTCTGCCTCGACTTTACTCTTTGACGAGGTGGAAAATTTGGAGAAGGTGTGGAGTTAATAAAAGATTAGTCAAGGGCTGAAGAGGGATTGTTGAGGTGGTTTGGTATTTAGAGAGAATGGATCAAAGTAGAAGATATGGAGAGCGTAAAAAATCTGTAGGGGAAGGATGGCGGGGTGGGGGGCGTCCTCAAAGGAAGGAGGGGGGGGTAAAGGAGGTTTTTTTAGGCAAGGGGGGTTTGGGTTCCAGAAGCGGCGTAAGCGTGTTAAAAGGGGTGAATGGAACGAATGGGATTTGGGACCTAAGATTGTTGGAGTGTGAGCAGGAAAAAATTTAGGAAGAGATTCAGGGGAAAACCGGTTATTTTTATTAGCGGACTTTGAGTCCCGAAATGGAAGTACAATGCCTGCACTTTAAAAAGGGGGGTTTGGAATATTGGCAGTTGGGGGATATATTGGTTCTTTTTACCTATATGCTTCAAAAATTTTTATTCAAGCACCTCTCAAAAAAAAGTGATTATGTGTGAGTGAGGGGAAAGTGTTGAATGATGAAAGTATTTTCTTTTTGGGGATTTTCTTTCTTTTTGGGTCACCTTGCCTCGGCGGGAGACGGCCGACTTGTTACATATATATATATATTTATATATATGTATATATATGTATTTTATGTATATGTATATGTATATTTGTATGTGTGTATGTTTTGTGTGTATGTGTGTGTGTATGTGTGTGTGTATGTGTGTGTGTATGTGTGTTTTGGTTTATGTGTTTTGTGTAATGTGTGTTGTATTGTGTGTGTATTGTGTGTGTGTATATGTGTGTTATGTGTTTGTGTGTGTGTATATGTGTGTGTGTATATATGTGTTAGTGTGTGTATAGTGTGTGTGTGTATATTGTGTGTGTGTATATGTGTGTGTGTGTATATGTGTGTTGTATAGTGTGTGTATGTTGTGTGTGTATATGTGTGTATGTGTGTGTATTGTGTGTGTATATGTGTTGTGTGTATATGTGTGTGTATATGTGTGTGTATATGTGTGTGTGTTGTGTGTATATGTGTGTGTGTGTGAGTATTATGTGTGTGTGTATATGTGTGTGTGTTATATGTGTTTGTGTGTGTATATGTGTGTGTGTGTATATGTGTGTGTGTGTATATGTGTGTGTGTATATGTGTGTGTGTATATGTGTGTATGTATGTGTGTGTATGTATGTGTGTGTATGTGTGTATGTGTGTATGTGTGTATGTGTGTGTATGTGTGTATGTGTGTATGTGCTCATTAATGTAAAGTGGAATGTCTGCCTGTTTTGACTTAATCTTCACTTGCATATATTGTTAATACTGATGTTTATGTCAGTTTACAGTATACTAAGTTAATGATAATTACTCGTGCCCACTCAAGGCATTGAAAATATATTAAGGGTATGCTGTCATGGTCTGTCTTATGTACTGTGTTGTGCAACACTAGATTTTTGTCCCTGCCTGTGATATGATGAATAAGACATGTGAAAATTAGACACTTGTGCAACATCTGGGTATCTTTACTGTAGACGTTTCGCCATCCAGATGTTGCACATGTCTAATTTTCATCTTGTCCTTATTGCATATCATTCACGTACAACAAGACATGTGCAGCACTAGGATACCTTTACTGCAGAAACAACACTGTTACCCTTGATAGGAGGCGGTCAGTCGTCCTACGCATTTTGTGACATTTGCATTGCTACTGTCGTTCAGAGTGTGGGAGTATGTGGTGAATGGGAATTTAGGTGCAGTGGTAAGTGTGCTGTGGTCGTGACCTGGTGTCAAGCACACCATCGTGTGTGATGGTCGTGGCGCCCATGTGAAAAACTTCGGACCTGTGTTATGAAGATAGGTGCCTTGTAGGCAAAGCTTTCGCTTCACACGCTGAACGTCTAGGTTCGATTCCCGGCAAGGGTGGAAACCGACAGATTGTAATAAAATTGGTAGAATTACCGACAATATGTAAAGTAAAAGGACACAAGTGCAACTAATGTGACATTTTATTGTGGCAACGTTTCGCTCTCCAGGAGCTTTGTCAAGTAACGGCTTGACAAAGCTCCTGGAGAGCGAAACGTTGCCACAAGAAAATGTCACATTAGTTGCACTTGTGTCCTTTTACTTTACAAAGGTGGAAACATTGGGCGTGTTTCCTTACACCTGTTGTCCATGTTCACCATCAGTAAAATGGGTACCTGGGTGTTAGTCGACTTGTGTGGGTCGCATCCCGGGACAAAATTGACCTAATATGCCCGAAGTTTTCTGTATAACAAGCGGCTTTTTATACAGTAGTATGTCAATGTCAGCTAGGACTGTATACCATGTACTTGTAGAAATAAAGATATATTATATGTGATACCTAATAGCCGTGGAGGAAGACAAACTGCAAATCTAATATATAAGGTCGTGTTTTCTTACCCTTGCGAGCATTTGGAGTGACAAAGGTTCCAGGACTTAATGTATATATAATAACAAGCCCTTAAGGTATTACATTTTGTGCCTTTCTAAATTCTTAGACCTACTGAAGGGATCACCATCCCGTGGGGTGTAGGAAGGGCCCATGTAAGATAAGACTTCGTTCTGATTTTTAACCCCGGAGGGTTAGCCACCCAGGATAACCCAAGAAAGTCAGTGCGTCATCGAGGACTAACTTATTTCCATTGGGGTCCTTAATATTGTCCCCCAGGATGCGACCCACACCAGTCGACTAACACCCAGGTACCCATTTGCTGCTAGGTGAACAGGACAACAGGTGTAAGGAAACGTGTCGAAATGTTTCCACCCGCCGGGAATCGAACCCGAGCCCTCCGTGTGTGAAGCGGGAGCTTTAGCCACCAGGCCACCCCAAAAGAACATTTAGACTCGTTGGAAGGATTCTAACTGAACTCTCACCACTATGGGTGTTGGGTGTGGTAGATAAACATTACTGATTTTTACTCTACCCTTGTAAAATGTCACAGATTAGGGTAACTCAGTGAGGCATACACAAACTGGTATTCAAAAAAATAAATACTGTACACCAAACTTCAAGCTGGAAGAAACAATCTATAAACTCAAAATATATAATACCGTCATATATTATTTACAAATAAAAGAACTATCCAAATCGTAGAAAAACAAACGAGATAAACTAAAATCAAATAAAAGACATCTTTATACATACAAAGGTAACGCACCTTTCCAAGACTACTATCGTCTTGGATCAGATCCAGGGATCCCTTTACCATTGTGTAGAGCCGTGTCGCACGAGGGTGCAGGTTGTGGTGGGTGAAGATAGGTGATGCGAGGAGTTGAGCTCCAGCTCTATGTACGTGATGACACTTGGAAGACTAAAAATCAGTTGTCCGGAAAACAAGTTTGATAAGTTAAGCTAATAGTGAATAACTTGCGAGCAGAAAGAACAAATAGAAAACACAACACAGAATGAGCTTGGTATGAAGACAGGTATTTCAGAGGTTTAAAAATGTGTTAGAGTAGCAGTAACAGGCGAGGCAGTTGAGCAAATCTCCAGGGGCGGCTGCTGCTGTTTATGCCCTGGAAGGCAGCGTAGAATGGCAGCAGCAGTGAGAGGTAAACACAAGGATGTGGTATACAAGAGCTCCGTCCCGCTACTGACGACCCTGCACCTACTCTAACACTTTCTCACCTCCCTGGCCCCTCCCTCACTTCACCTTATACAGCCCACCAGTCTGGTATCGCCTACCCCAAATATCTCCCACATCGACTCGAGTCTTCTTCCTAGTCCATACCTACGATTATTACTAATTTGTCTTCCTGTAACCTACCTGGAAATAAAGGACCCCAACGGAAATAAGTCACTGACTTTTTTGGTTATCCTATGTTCTCTACACAGACTTATGCATGATAATCTATGTAACTATTTGTGTATACCTGAATAAACTTACCTATACCTCTGCCCTACTCTCCATCCTGCCCTTCCATCCCTTAATATTCCTTTCTACATTCCATCCACCCCCCCCCCCTGCATTATCCATCGTCTCCCACCACCCTACCGCATCATATCCTTACAAAACAACCCCCCCCCACACACACATAACGGAAGGGATAGACTCAGAAGTGTCCTTGTTTGCGGACGATATGAAGTTAATGAGAAAAATCAAATCGGATGAGGATCAGGCAGGACTACAAAGACCTGGACAGGCTACAAGCCTGGTCCAGCAACTGGCTCCTTGAGTTTAACCCCGCCAAATGCAAAGTCATGAAGATTGGGGAAGGGCAAAGAAGACCGCAGACAATATAGTTTAGATGGCCAAAGTCTGCAAACCTCACTCAAGGAAAAAGATCTGGGGGCGAGTATAACATATCTCCTGAGGCACACATCAATCAGATAACTGCTGCAGCATACGGGCGCCTGGCAAACCTACGGATAGCGTTCCGATACCTCAGTAAGGAGTCGTTCAAGACTCTGTATACCATTTACGTCAGGCCCATACCGGAGTATGCCGCACCAGTTTGGAATCCACACCTAGTCAAGCACGTCAAGAAATTAGAGAAAGTGCAAAGGTTTTCAACAAGATTAGTCCCAGAGCTACGGGGATTGTCCTACGAAGAAAGGTTGAGGGAAATCGGCCTGACGACACTGGAGGCCAGGAGGGTCAGGGGAGACATAACGACAAAATACTGCGCGGAATAGATGAGGTGGACAAAGACGGGATGTTCCAGAGATGGGACACAAACACAAGAGGTCACAATTGGAAGTTGAAGACTCAGATGAATCAAAGGGATGTTAGGAAGTATTTCTTCAGTCAGAGTAGTCAAGCCGTGGAATAGCCTAGAAAGTGTAGTGGAGGCGGGAACCATACAGTTTTAAGGCGAGGTATGATAAAGCTTATGGAGCAGGGAGAGAGGACCTAGTAGCAATCAGTGAAGAGGCGGGGCCAGGAGCCGAGTCTCGACCCCCCCCCACACACACACACACAACACACACACACACACACACACACACACACACACACAAAACAAAACCCCACACACACACAACACACACACACACCACATACCACAAAACACACACACACACACACACACACACACACACACCCCACACACACACACACACACACACACACAACCACACACACACACACACACACACACACACCACACACCCCACACACACACACACACACACACACACACACACACGAAACAGGGAGATTGCTCGAGGCATGGAAGACAGCAAATGTAGTCCCAATCTTTAAAAAAGGAGATAGACATGAAGCATTAAACTACAGACCAGTGTCACTGACATGTATAGTTTGCAAAATCATGGAGAAGATTATCAGGAGAAGAGTGGTGGAACACCTAGAAAGGAAAGTTCTCATCAACAGCAGCCAACATGGTTTCAGGGACGGGAAATCCTGTCTCAAACCTACTGGAGTTATATGACATGGTGACAGCAGTAAGACAAGAGAGGGGTGGGTGGATTGCATATTCTTTGACTGCAAGAAGGCGTTTGACACAGTTGCACACAAGAGATTGGTGCAAAAACTGGAGGACCAAGCAGGGATAACAGGGAAGGCACTACAATGGATCAAGGAATACTTGTCAGGAAGACAGCAGCGAGTCATGGTACGTGGCGAGGTGTCAGTGGGCAAATGTGGCCAGCGGGGTCCCACAGGGGTCAGTCCTAGGACCAGTGCAGTTTCTGGTATTTGTGAATGACATGACGGAAGGAATATACTCTAGGTGTCCCTGTTTGCAGATGACGAAGTTGAGAAGAATCCACTCGATCGAAGATCAGGCAGAACTACAAAGGGATCTGGACAGGCTGCAGACCTGGTCCAGCAATTGGCTCCTGGAGTTCAATCCCACCAAGTGCAAAGTCATGAAGATTGGGGAAGGACAAAGAAGACTGCAGACGGAGTACAGTCTAGGGGGCCAGAGACTACAAACCTCATTCAAGGAAAATGATCTTAGGGCGAGTGTTACGGTTTGAATCTTATTTTTAGCCAGGTTAGTGCACTCCGTAACAACACAATTCATAGAATGAAAGGATATGGTTCCAAACTTAGAAATGCAAGGCACAAATAATAGTTACTCAGTCTTTTCAAGTTTCTTTTTATTTAAAAGCTTAAATACTTTAGATATTCATAAATATCTATTAAATATCACTGTCAGAAACTTTCCTTCACACAAGAAAACTCTTAAATAGAATGTACATGTCAATATGGTCACTACACTTCGTAATGATCAGAGGAATATTACCGCTTCCTCAATAGTAACATTACTTGTGTGCAAGTACATATATTGAGAATTAACACTTTCACTGAGTAACTCCCTGGCATAAGGAATATATCACAAAGTTCTAAGCTTGACACTGGTCGTCACATCGTAACCTGAAGATAACAGTATATGATTGTCAGAAGACTTCACAATAAACCAAAAGCTGGATCAGGAGTTTCTATAACCCAATTCTCTATCCAAGTGAGAATAAGGCGGAGTACTAGGAGGGTAGCTCAGTCAATGCACACTGAGTCAGCAGATAGAGTGAACTGCCGTATACAGTAAATTCCTTCATGACATCAACTCGTCAAAAGGGGGAGAGGGTAGAGCGGTGCAAACTACCCACCAATGGAGATACCTTGTTATAAACCTTAGCCAGGTGTACCTACCTAACACATTACTCAAGAGATATATATATATACATCATACCCGGGTATATTCCTAAATCAGATAATATTATAAACTAGTGGAATCTTTAATTTAGCTAATATTAAAGAAAGCCAGAGTATAATATTAAGTGGATAATACATATAAATTAATCACATTATGACCTTGGTCATAACAGTGAGTATAACACCAGGCACATCTCCTGAAGCGCACATCAACCAAATAACTGCTGCAGCATATGGGCGCCTAGCAAACCTCAGAACAGCATTCCGACATCTTAATAAGGAATCGTTCAGGACCCTGTATACCGTGTACGTTAGGCCCATATTGGAGTATGCGGCACCAGTTTGGAACCCACACCTAGCCAAGCACGTAAAGAAACTAGAGAAAGTGCAAAGGTTTGCAGCAAGACTAGTCTCAGAGCTAAGAGGTATGTCCTACGAGGAGAGGTTAAGGGAAATCAAAACCCGACGACACTGGAGGACAGGAGAGATAGGGGGGACATGATAACGACATACAAAATACTGAGAGGAATTGACAAGGTGGACAAAGGACAGGATGTTCCAGAGATTGGACACAGTAACAAGGGGACACAGTTGGAAGTTGAAGACACAGATGAATCACAGGGATGATAGGAAGTATTTCTTCAGCCACAGAGTAGTCAGTAAGTGGAATAGTTTGGGAAGCGATGTAGTGGAGGCAGGATCCATACATAGCTTTATGCAGAGGTATGATAAAGTTCACGGTTCAGGGAGAGTGACCTAGTAGCGATCAGTGAAGAGGCGGGGCCAGGAGCTCGGACTCGACCCCCGCAACCTCAACTAAGTGAGTACAACTAGGTGAGTACACACACACACACACACACACACACACACACACACACACACACACACACACACACACACACACACACGCACACACACAAACACACACACACACACACACACACACACACACACATTTGCAACAAGGCTAGTTCCGGAGCTCAGGGGTATGTCCTACGAAGAAAGGTTGAGGGAAATCGGACTGACGACACTGGAGGACAGGAGGGTCAGGGGAGACATGATAACGACATACAAAATACTGTGTGGAATAGATAAGGTGGACAGAGACACACATTGTTGTCCTTGGGCCACTGGGCCCAAGGACAACAGATAGTGAAAAAAACTGAAGAAAGGAAAGCTGCAATGGAGGCAATTAAATCGAATCAGGGGATACATAAGGATATGCAGTTGCAGAATGAAAGGGAGAGGTCTGTCTTTGTTTATGGGCTCCAGGAAGTTGAAGAGGAAACTTACAAAGCAAGAAGACAAGGGGAGAAAAAAGTGATCAAAAGCATCATAAAAGCAATAGGAGAAGATGACATGGTCCAGCTGGCAAATTTTCAGAGAATAGGGAAGTCTGCAAGAAGAAGAACCCGGTCAGTCAAAGAGACTTTCGAGGCAGAATCGACTCGAAACAGAATCCTGAAGGAGAAAGCAAGACTAATGGACGTGCCAGCATACCAGAAGGTGTATCTCGACTGCGATAGAACATGAGAAGAAAGGCAGAAACTGAAATAGATGGTACAAAGACGAAAGGAGGAAAGAGAGGTGAAGATGGAGATGGACAGGAGAACCCAGACTCAGGAGGATCAAATACAGCCTCCCTCACAACCACCTACAGAAGCCCTCCAACCAGGACAACCTCAATGCAATCAAACATTCTAACTCAAAATACACATGCCATTTTCAAACCCCCCACCCACCTCATTGCAAACTCCACCCTCACAGCAACCACCCATAGTTCCTTAGCAGGTCTCCCACTTCCCCAACCCCAACATACCCCCCAGACCACAGTTTTAGAAAAGAAGTTAAAGGTTTGATATACAAATGCAGATGGAGTAACAAATAAGTGTGAGGAGTGGCATGAAAGAATCAAGGAGACATTCCCAGACATAATAGCACTCACAGAAACGAAACTCGCCAGGATAACAGATACAATCTTTCCACCCAGATATCAAATCCTCAGGAAAGATAGAGGGAGGAGAG